CCAAAGCAGCCACAGGGACATCAAAAAGCCTCTGCACAGCCATAAAGAAAGAAGTCATCTTCTTCTCAACATACACACACATAAAGATGCAGACACGGACACACACCGTCAAACCATCATATTGCACACACGTGTGTCAAAAATGATATAACATCCCCTCCGTGTTCCTTGTCGTAACCCCTGTCCCACGAATACACTTGTCTCTTGAACATAGCATCAAGCTGCCGTCTGATTGACACACTCTGACATTTCATGCCAAACTGCAGGGGTGTGTGGGACAGTTTAGGGCTGCAGCCAGAGTGATAAAGATTTCGACTGATTCCATTTGCTTTTGCTCTATTTTGGTAAGGAAAAGGCGATTTTTCAGTTTCCCTCGCCTCTACCATGCAGGTTATTTTATTTTCTATTTTGGTTTAACCAAAAACCGTGGTGCCAGTATTAAAATTTTATACTTTTATAACTAACTAAATAAAGAAATAACATTAAATATAAACTAAAAACAAATATAACTGTAGATACTGCAAAAGAATCTAGGCATATCAACACTATGATGTATTAAATCTAATGTATTTTTTAAATACTTGAATTATTAAGGATTATTAAATTATTAGTATTTTTAAAAAAAATGTCAGAAGCTGAAGCTTTTCAGAGTTTCAGATGATAGCAAAGGTAATATAGTGTAAAAAAATAGAAAAATAAAATAGTAAAATACCTAAATATATGTAAAATGTTTACAAATGTGTAAATAAAAAGATTAAAATTAATAAAATAATAAACAGTTATTAATACAATATCAGCATATAAAATTATGTTATAATAAATTAAAAAGGTAATGTAGATCTAAAAAACAGAAATAGGCATGAATATTTAAATACCAATATCAACCAATACTGCTAAATTTAAACATCCCCAATATCGGATGATAAGTGTTGTGGTTGCCTCTAATATATAGGCTAAAATACAAATATGAAAACGACAGCAGTACAGTCAGGCTTAAGACCTCATCTTACCTGAGGCTGACTAGCAGAGTTGGAATCAAAGGACTAAACTACAAATCTCTTTGGATATCACCTGAGCTACAAGAGAAATTCACTCTGTGAAGGATAGGATTCGGCAGAGGAATTAATCCTCCTTCTATTTATTACCCTTTAAAATGCCCTCTAAATGCAAAAAGTCATTAAATCTATTATATTTCACAAGTAAGCGTGATGACATGGCATCGGTGAGGTGACATGCTGCCAGCACTGAAACCTGGTGGGAGTTGCTAAAAATCACTATCTTCAACTGAATTAAACAGCTGTATTTTAATCAGAATCATTCTAAACGCCTGTTGTAAAGGGTTAAAATATATCTTGTGCAACACTATTCGATACTCTTTGTGTCTGAATGCGGTTAGCATATCACTGACAACGTGAGATAATTCTTCACAAGACTTAGTATCTGTGGTTTTCTAAATATAACGTCTTATAGCTTGCAGTTGTTAGTCCAAGGTATACAGTTCCTTGAAAAGAAGTTGCTTATCTGACTCTTGCAGTGAGTTAGAAAACTACATTTCCACTCCTTAAGTCCATTATATGGTAAAGTGAAGGGAACGAGAGAAGATTGTGCTGATTTTCAACTCCAGATTGCCAGCTACAGCCTAAATAATAGACACCGTTGAATTTCCCTTCAGCATTTTCTGGAAAAATCCAAGCAAATCCAGCCAAAAAAGCAACCTACAATGCCTACAACCGACGAGTAATAGTCTTATGCTTACTCATATTTGTTAGCCGTTACCGGAGGGTGTGCGAATTGTATTAGGACATGTGGCGGCACTTGGCTCGGTATTTCTAGTAAAGTGAATGGACAAGCGCAGCACAATTTATTCTCAAAGTAAAGTTCTCTGAGTATTCTGCACATGGCCTCGGGTTACGTTGTAATGACAGTCATAAGCTTTAGGTGACAGTGCTTGTGGCCCTGTAGACATCTCTGCTTGACCTCTTGGGACCCGTGGAAGATAAATAGGCAAAGACGCAACGAGCTACCTTGCCCTTGCTATTTGTATGTGCTTAGCGCAGCAAGGTATGGTGTAATAACTTGGCAAAAGCACAGCTCTGGAACCGATGTGGCAAAACTATTAGGCATTAGTTCTTTGACACATTAAGAAAATAAAGCACAGATGTTGAGCGTGGTTCAGTGCTCTCCATGGGTCTTCAAGAACCTGCTTCATTTAGCCTGTAAATTAAATAAAGGATAGCATGGCAGCGCACCAAAAACTCACAATATCACTTGAGAACTGCAGCTCCATCAAAGAGACCAAATATATTTCTTCATCAACGTCCTGACAAGATCGAATTGAGAAATCAAACATTACAAGGAAATCAGTGCCAAATCAAAGAGCAGCCTGCCATGAGGGGACATCTGTCTTCAAGCATAATCATATTCTATTCGCAGGTGGCCATCTGAATATATAAATATTTTATTATCATGTTGAAACTTTGGCAGAGAAAGTACATTTTGCTGACATTTATATAGAAGTGTTATACCACCATGCCACCTATAAATCTCAGTGATATATTTCCCCAGCTCTTATGTGAGTCTGCTGCAAATGCCCATGTTGGCAAAAATGAAACTTTAGACCTAAAACAGGCAGGCGCTGACTTCTGTATAATGCATCCATATGAACAGCACGGCGACACGCTGCTGCATATATTTGTCATGCCTAATATCATTCATATAAATGGCAGACTGATAAATGGGTGCATTAGTAGAGTTGGCCACATAAAATGGGTTTATTCAGCGCCAACAGGAACACAAACTGATGCCCTTAGATGCTCAAACAGAAAAAAATGGACACGCTGGTGTAATGAACAAGACAAATTACTCTTATTACAAAAGTATGCATTGTTTAGAATTTCTTATAATTTTGATGAGAATGTTTGCTCAGTAAGGATAATGCTCAACAAAGCGTGTCTCTTGTGTGTGACCCAGCTGAAGAGACAAGTGGAGGAAGTTTGCGTTGTATAATCTCTCCTTAATACTCCCACGAAATGAACTGTACTCCATGTACCTGCATTATAGAAAAGATCCAACTGATAGCGTATTACTCTAATGCTATCCAAGTAAATCACTGTGACGGCTTCCCTTTCAATGATTTTGTACTAATCTTGATTTTTATATATAAAGTCATGACAACCTTAGAGGTTTCAGACTTCTCGACCTTCTCCAATTTATCCAATCATGCTAAATGGAGTAAAATATGAGCTTAGAGGAACTGGCTGTGTCATGATTTCCCCCCTTTGCTCTTGCTTTTAACTGAGAAGAGATGTAATACTAGATACGGTAAGAAAATGGTAAAATGGAAAGATCACACCTGAGGGGAAGGAACCAGGTTCGGTGTCGTTAAATAATGGCATCCAGTTAAACTTTTTTCTAAAGCCATTTAGAAGGTATTTAATATTTAATATTAATTTATTACTATTAGTTTTTACAGTGGATGGGGCTGTAAAGTGTGATGCTGCATAAACTCACATTTACGCTACAGTTCAAAAGTTTGGGTTGGCTGCATTTAAATCGGTAATATTATGAAAAAGTAACTGTTTTCTATTTTAATAGATTTTAAAATGTAATTTATTCCTGTGATGGTAAAGCTGAATTTTCAGCAGCCATTGCTCCAGTCTTCAGTGTCACATGATCCTTCAGAAATCATTCTAATATGCTGATTTGCTGCTCAAGAAACATTTCTTATTATTATCAATGTTGAAAACAGTTGTGCTGCTTAATATTTTCATGGAAACTGATATATTATTTTTAGGATTCTTTGAAGAATAGAAAGTTCAAAAGAACAGCATTTTTTAAAAACAGTACTCTTTTGTAACATTATAAATGTCTTTACTGTCACTTTTGATCGATTTAATGCATCCTTGCTGAATAAAAGTATAAAATACTTAAAAAAAAATCTAAATCTTGATGATCCCAATCGTTTGAACGCTTGTGTAGATGGAAGAGATATACACAGCTGATGTGACATACTGAAATATAATGTTTGGAAATTGCAGTCTTTCCCTTTTCATTAGATAAGAGCTGTGCTTGCATGCCTAGGAAATAGCAGAGGCGTTATTAAGATGGCTGCAGAGTGAACTAACTCACCTTCAAGGGACGTTGCTGGTAAATGATTCCTTTATACACTTTAACTAATTTCTTAGAAGTAATAAAAAGATAACAGCAAAAAATAAAAAGAGATATAATACTAGATTTGTGAAAAACCTACTGTATACTATACCGTTCAGAACCTTGGGGTCATTGCGAATAAATTAATACTTTTATTCATCGAGGATGCATTAAAATGATCCAAAGTGACCTTTAAGACATTTATATTTTTTACAAAATTTCTATTTCTATTTCAAATACCTGCTGTTTTTTCATACTTTCAACTCATTTAAAAATCCTGAAAAAACCCCCCAAATATCACAGTTTCAACAAAATTATAAGAAAAGTTTCTTTAGCATTAAATCAGCATATTAGAATGATTTCTGAAGGATCATGTGACACTGAAGACTGGAGTAATGATGCTGAAGATTCAGCTTTGCCATCACAGGAATTAATTACTAATTAAAATATATATACAAAAATAAAAAATAAAAAGGAGAAATAAAATTAAAAAGTAAACTTGTCAGCTACTTCCACACCACGTCCAATGCTTTCCACAGAAACCCACACAGCAGTGCGGCAAAACAAAATGCCATTATTTTCCAGCCACGGAAGAAAAAAACAACAACATCTAATTGACAATTAAATGTAATTTAGGAAAATAGGAGAGGCTACAAATGTACTGTTTGTTGGTATTGTTGTGACTGAGGCTCACAGGATGTTGCTAAATGAAAGTACACTGCACAGTCACTGGGGAGACAAAGTGACTTTAGAAATAGCTCGAAAGCAGTTGCTGTCCAGTTCTGTGCGTTGTCCATACATCTTCTTGATGTCATAAGCCAAAGGTTGAAGCGGTCGGTGAGAGGTCTTACCTGAGGGGAAGTGCTCATTGATGGCCCAGTTGTCCACCTGAAGTGTAGCATTGCCCCCATTTCGGGTGAAGCGCACTACATGGTACTTGCCGTCATTTACAGCGGTGCTGCTCTCCTGAACAGTAATGTCAGACGTTCCGATGTTGAACGTGACTCCAATTTTGCCTTGTTCCTGAAAAAAGGATGAGAAAAACATCAGTTTTGTCCACAACATCTACATTAACAACAAACACATGGGATGAATTCAGGTAAATTTTGTGACTTTTTGCCATTGTGCCATTCAGTTTCACCTTATGTATTTTTCCTGTATTTGCCTCAATGAAGAGATGCATTTATTCTGTGTTGATTATTTTTTAATGACGCAGTTGCCCTTGAAATCTGTCACCTCTTGCTTTGCTTTTGTTCTAGCATGATCCTGAATAATCTATTAGCATTAGTGACCCCTGATAAACTTGTCCGCTTGATGAAAAGTATTCATCAGCCATTAGCACCCCCCATCTTTGGAGGTGAAGAATCTGGCTCATTGATTTACATAATGCAGTGAAAGTGGACTGAATCAATAGCATTAGCTAAAATAGAGAAAGAGATAAGAATGATTAATGGAACAGGAAGGTGTGCAGTGTTTGCCCTCATGGATCCAAGAGGCTGTGTGCAAATGTAGCTGCAAAGATTCCCACTATAAATTAATTAGCACAGCCTCAATGAGCATCGGTGGAGCAGGAAGCATTGAGGAAATGTTTCATCCATCGTCAATGTCATGAATTAACTATATGTTTTGAAAGTGTCTGCTGGAAACCAACCTAAACTGGTTTGGGTTTGGGGCCCTTGTCAGTTGCTCAGGCCGGCTAAATCAGCATTAACCATTTTTTTTTTCTTCTCTGCAACCGTTTCATCCTCTCTAACGCACTCTCTCTACCCCCCTCCTGAGCCCTGTGGGTTGCATGGATATATTTGATGGTTATGTTAAACCGAATCTGGTGTTGTTCTTATCTCTTGCAGCATGGAAAATGATGACAGATGATAAATTTTATCAAGGGAGATGTTTATCACCGCAGAGTACATTTATCACAGAAAAATCTCCCTGAGAGAAATCTGGGCCAGTTCTCTCAAGTTCATTTGGAAGACTTTCCCAAAGACCGGAATGCTGTGTATATTCTTCTCTGTTTATGTCTTTGATTAACCCTAATGTTTTATTGATATTGACTTTACTGATTTCATGTTTGGTGTCCCAGAGACCCCAATGATGTCCACTACAATAATTTTTTCTTTTATTCACCAAGGATGCATTACATTTAACAAAAGTAACAAAAAAAAACCTTCAAAAAGATGCTATTCTTTTTACCTTCTATTAAACAAATAATCATGACATTTCTAAGCCAGCATATGAGAATGATTTCTGAAGGATCATGTGAAAATAATGACTGGAGTAGTTGCAATTTAGGTTTGCCAACACAGGAATAAATCATGATTTAAAACACATCAAAATTGAAAACAGTTATTTTAAATTTTAATATTAGTTCACAGTATAACTGTTTACTGTATTTTCGAACAAATAAAGGCTGCCTAAGCAATGTGCACATTTTTTTTGAACATATTAAGAAAGTATATTAGATCAATTTTGTACATATGCACTTCCTCAGAATTCAAAATTATATGTAATGATAATTACATATAAGAATACTGCATCTCACTCTTCAGTGTCACAAACTATGGGTGGAACATTTTAAAACACTGTTTAAGTCAATTATAATTTGAATAATGCCTCGCAAGATCCCTATTTTCTGCTATTTTTTATTACACACCATCTTGCTTTTTAATTATACAAAATTGACGTTAAATTGACATCCATAATAATTACTATTACAAATAATTGTTTTCTTTATGTTCCACTTCATGCCATGCCTCCTTTAACTATAGTAAATGGCCTCTTGTAGGTTATGGCTATATTATGTGTGTTTATTTATTTATGTATTTAATGGATAGATATGCATAAGCTTGTCAATGTGTGGTATAGTTTTAATGAAGTGTTTGTTTTCAATGATTCTTCAAGTCCCTTGAGACCGTCTTTATAGAGGAAGGAGGATTGTATATTACTGTAACCCGGCCTTTCTTCCTGCATGAAAAGCTACAGAAAACATATCTCTGCCCTCATATAAAACATTAATGAGTTGAAAATAAGTCAAAACACATAAAGAGCACTTTCTGTTTCCACAGACTTACACATACATACACACACAGTGCTATGAAATATCTAACCGCCCTGTTACTTTTCACTTTGTGAAAGCCTCTTACTGCTGTATTACTTGCTTGATCACAGAAACACTCTTTTACATTTAGCATCAAAGAGTGTCTCTCTCTTGCACTCTCTTTCGTACATCCATCTCATCCCCCTTCCACGTTCCAATTCCAATACTGTAACGCCTTTGTATCCAGGAGGGTAAAAGGACGAATAAACTCTTGGTTTTTGAGCAAGTGATACATGAAAGGAAATAGTCTGTCACGCACGCACACACACACACACACACACATACACACACAC